ATAGCTCATTGAAAAATAGTCCTTTTGAGGGCACCCTCCTGGATTGTCCTATTTATGACAAAATTGTGTAAAGGTTGAAACTCTCAGGGGGCTTTCTGACATATAAGGTATATATGGTGTTAGGAGAAAGATGTGTTGCTTAGTAAGTTCAGTTTACTAAGAAAGACAGAGACATAGGTGTCCAGTTGGATAGGAAAGGACAAAATCTTCTATAATGTTTCTTTGTGATTAGGTAGGACTGGATACTGGCAAGCTTAAGGCCTGTTGAATTTTCTTAGCCTTGGTTGTGAGGCTCAGAGGTAATGTTTATACAGGGAAGAGAAACAGTATAGTCAAGTTACAGAGTGAACTAGTGTCTGAGTCAGAAATAAAACTCCTTGCTTCCAATACTGTGTTAATTCCCAACACCACACCCTCACTGCTAGACAGAAAAGGTGCTATGTGTTCAAGCAAAGGAAATTTATGAATAGAGCCTTAGTGGCAGTTTTCCCATGCCCTGTCTTCAGGATTGAGACTGAAATGCTTTCTTGTTTGTGGTCCTTTCTCTCCCACAGGATTTGGTTACTCAAAGCACCAAAGTAGAAGTGCCAGACTGCCTGTTGTTGATATAGTGTATGTGTGCTGAGAGACATAAAACTGAATGGAAAACTAGGGAGACAAATTTCAGCTATTTGAAACACACCATCTTGGGAAGTAGAAAATAATAAAAAGACAGTGAGCTAGAAGAATGCTGTGTAAAAAAAGATATCAGTGGGCAGAGTGTAGGGACTCTGGGAATAGTTGAAAAGGCATCTATTATGAAAGCAGTTTCCAAATAATATTTTTGGCCTTACTTATTGCAGAAGGCAGGTGCAAGCAGATTATAGTAAATGAAGGTTGGGTTTAATATTAGGGATTTTTCAGTCCTTTAATTTATTTAGATTGTGTAAATTTACGATAGAGGAATATTTTTGACTAACTGGATTTCTTTCAACAATGAAAAAAAAAAGGCCTCCAGACTAATGCGTAGTGAGTGGGGATGTTAAAAATAGTATATAAAGTGGTTTAATCAGTTGAGAAGTTTTCCATTTATTTTTGTTTCTATCACATTGGTGAAACAATCTGCAGAAACCTGGGTCTATAGTTGCCAAAGTGAGATATGAACCCCAATGACAGATTTTTTCAGGCTCTTCCTGTTTTTGCTGATCAGCTTCAGTGACCTTAAACATAGTGATTGCATACAGTTCTTTATGAGAAAACTGGAAGGAGTTAGATGAAGCAAAGTAGTATAGAGGATGGGATTTGAGGAATTGTGAGCCAGAAATATCTCCCAAGGTCCTAAATACAAATTAGATGACAGCACTGACCTCTACCCAGCAAGGTCTTTTTTCTTTTATCTTTTTTTATTCTTTCAATTCTTGTTTTAATTTCCTTGCTACTTTCCCATTTCCTCTTTTGCTCTCCTCACCTATTTATATTTGTCCACTGTCTGTTTCTTCCCATTCTGGACCTTACTTGGTCAAGGTTCCTACTATACTTTGCTTTTACATATCAAGGTTGATTGTGGCAAGAGTTGAGCTGGGCCTGTGAGATGAAATAGCCAAGAAAGAATATGATCTTAGTGCAGTGTTAGGCTCAGGGGGTGGGGAAGGAGAAGACACTCCATAAAGATTTTTTGAATGAGAATTCAATAATAACAAGTTTCCAATCTTAACTTGAGAACTTTTGCGATTAAAAAATGACAACTTTTTGATTCATATCCCATAAGTCATCTCGTCAAGGTCATCTCTTCCTCTAGGCACTGCAGTCAGCGAGTGTTTTTTTTTTTTTTTCCCCCAAATCAGTTTTTTCTCAGTGCAAACACTGGTTCAAGTAACTTCAGGCTTCTGCATCTCTGGCAGATTCCTGCCTCCACTCCATTTTCTGTTATATAAAATAGCCCTCTGACCTGTTCCTTGGGAGTTAGAAGGAAAGAGTAATGTAAGGAGAAACCACTTCACATAAATGCCTTTCAATTAAAAAAATATATAATCATGTGTACAGCAGCACTTTCAACAATAG